TTTTTAGTTCTGCAACAAGTCAGCCAATACAGAAGTATTACTCCCACCTCCCACTCAAACCCTTATTCTAGCCTATGAAGTTGCACAATGCCAAAGACCATGACGCATTAAGTAACTGTTTTTGTACCTAGAAGAACAAAATCTGACTTAAAAATCGTTTCAGCCTATTTCTCAAATGTTTAAATTCTATTGTTTAATCGATTGATTACTTGCATTTAAAAACTAATTCATTTTTCAAAACCCCTAACTGCAAAAAAAGCTTGACATTTAGTTTTAAGACAAAAAAGTAAAAGCTGCTCAATTCATGACTTTCAAATTTTCCATACATAACCTCATCCCACTCCTTCCATATTCTCTTTTTAGGGACTAAAATTTAACCAGGTCAGTTCTGGTCTCAAAAAATAATTTCATGTGAATTTAAATAGCTATCTTGGGAGCTAGATTGAATCATTTGCTAAACTCTAATATTTTAAGTTTATAAACTTCAGAAAGAAGATAGCTTTTGAAGCTGACAAAAAAAAATCATAGAACAGTAGTCTTTTTGTGTGCTGCCCAGAAATTCAGTTACAAAGTGGTCCTATTGTGTTTCTCATAATTTACATTTACTTTTTTGGCAGAGCAGAAAGGAAAAAAAAAAGAAGTCAAAGTTGGAGGCATACAACAAAAATGAAAGATGGCATTTTTATTTCAAAATGTCCCCTTGACATTTAGATATCTACAAACCCAATATCTAACATTTACAGGAGATAAAACAGTAAAAGAAATAGCAGCTATGATTCTTTGATGTCACTGAACAGGTGTGGTACCATTTTATACCACAAAAATTGGATGGATCTCTTACCCACAGGAGGTCCATATGGAACCAGTAATGACCTATGTCTCACTTCCTTGGACATGGCCATATAATTACCTGGGATGACAAGAGTCCTGGTGACTGATCTGTGCAGATTCAGAGTAGACATTCTCCCAAACAGATCAATACTATCCAAGGTGCAGCTGGAAAACAGGATGAGCTTGTATCATTAAACAAACACCAAGCTGCTTATTCATGAGGGCAAACGCAACACAGCACTTATGTTTTCCACAGTGTGTTTGCCAGTGACCTCAACCCTGACCTGCAGGGCCACCGTCTCTGGGGCGAGAAGTAATCCTGTGTTAGGTCTGCCTCTGGTACTGGAAGACTCCTATGAGTTGTGGCATTTTTTACAATAAGAGCTACTGTGTCTGCTTTAGCCTAGCCAAGACAATTACGTGATGACAAAACAACTCGTCAATGTAGTCGATTTAGTCAAATGATTGGTCTGAGTGTTTGGCATTATATAGCCAAAAAATAAAGTAGAAATAGAATTTTTAGTTTTTACCCAATCATACTAGAATTGTGTGGATACATCTTCAATTAAATTAATTTAGAAAGTTTTTATGACACTAGTTGTTTCTACATACATAAACTAAAATACTATAACTATCTGTATAAACCAAATACTTTTGCCCGAACATCCAGATAAATATTTTTGATTAACCCTCCAAAATTGTTTCCATCATAATTTTCATTTAGCCACATAGACCCTCTTCGCTCCAAAAAAAGTAATTTCTGTGTACCTGTAAAACCCTTTCACATCAACATATATGTGCACATGTAAAGTAACAAGATTTACAACTAATAAGAACATGCAAGTTACATCACTATTTTCATTGCTATAGGTGTATTAAATATAGGGAAATTATGGACTTTAAAAAAATCTTCCCAAAATTATTGAGAAAATAAACTGGATTAAAATGTGACCCTATATTCCTCTAGGCAAGATGACTTCATATTTAAACATTTTGTACGGTCATAACATGAAAGTCTAAGAAAACCCAGAGGCTACCAGAGGCTATGGGCCAATTCAGGACCAATAAATGTATTTAAACTGGGGACATACATAAAATCATGTAATTATGTTTGGGTCTTAAAAATGCTTTAATGGCCATTGGCAGTACTGCCATAAGATCCATCCGTCTACCATTCATGATCTTTTATGCATTTAGAATACCTAATTTATTGTCCAACCCTGGGTATACGGTTTGATGAACCTAGCTAAAAGAGAAGCTTGTGTCTCTCGCTGCCATTAAAAGATAAATTTGTACGGGAGAGGGGGGAAGTCAAGTAACAATGATTGTTAGCTTTCCCCTTTCCTTTAACTAAGTGCTCTCTAGTTGGGGTCGGGGGTAGCTTTGCAGAGGAGAAAACAAACTTTCCCTCCAGCGCATCACTGTATAAACAGTATATCCATCTCTTTGAATAAAGAAGAAATAAACTCAACTTTGGAACTTTGCCATTGAGTGGCGGCTCCTGCAAAGGGGACAGTTTGCTATTAATTGTTAATGTCGTCTGCCATTAGAGGGCACTAAACAACTCTACATTAATGCATTGGAGGGAAGACAGAAAAGGAGACGGGAAAAGAAAGAGGGGAGGGAGAGAAGGGAGGGAGTGTATGGGCAAAGTCGGAGTAGAGGGAGGAAAAGGGAGACGAGGGAAGGGATGGGAGAACAAGAGGGAAAGAGAGAGGGGGAGAGAGAGAGAGACAGAGACCCGGAGAAAAAATGAATCTGGAAAGATTAAGAAGGATGCGGAGCCCCCAGAGCCGTCTGAAGTGAGCAAAAAGCCAGTCTCCCCCGGGCCGCCCGCGCCCCTCCCCGCGCGTCCTGCCGACGGTAATTATAAAGGGAAAAGCGGCGGCGAGGTCACCCGTTTTTACCAGCCTGCTGCACCGAATGCGCGCGGTGCAGGTGCGGCGGCCGCGGGGCTTTGTGATTCATGCCCACTTTCAAAGGGGGGCTTGGGCCCGTCTGAGAGGCACCCAAACAACTGTCTTCTAATATTAGCACGGCTGTATTTCGGGATCTATTATAGTCTGTCCAGACAGATCCCATTGTAATGGGATCTTTTATTAAAAGATTAGCACTATCTCCTGCAGTTGGTGGAAAAAAATCTGTTATCACTGAGTTATTTGCAGTTGTGGAGGGGGCAGGGGGGTTGAGGGAAGATGGGGGGTGGGAAGGCTGGG